TTTTAACTGTTAGGTAAGTAATAAAACAATATTATTTATATCTTTTAGGTAATAGAAACATAATTTTTAACTCTTAGGTTATATAAAGGAACTATAAGCTTTCTCAGTGAAATAACATAATTAGGTATACTATGATAATGAGATCAATCAACATAACTAATAAAAATGAGACAAAAAAAAACAGTAAACTATAATAATAAAGTAACAGTTGACAAGAATGTTACTTGTAATATAATTATTGTGCATATTTCTTAATGGAAACAATCATGACAAATGTCTGGATTCGAAGTCGGTACATGTCTCGTGTAGCCACCGTTTACAGCGAACGCATTGAATCCAATCAACTTTTGGACCCTTGTTATCGTAGTAAGAACAATTGCACTTTCGACATATACAGGGTGACTGGTGAATTACTATCGATATTTGAGGACGTGATATTTGACGATCATATATGACAAAATAAAAATTAATATAACATAAATATTAATAAACTTCTAAGTAAAGTTAACCAAAAGTTATTTAATTAATTACGCATCGTATGAACACCCTACAGATTAGGTATACACACACACTCACACAGACGCGGCGGCGGCGTAGTGTTGTATCAGCACGCCACCGCACGCGTCCACACTTGGAACACTTGGAACGTGTCCACACTTTATTTATTTATACGGAAATTTGGTCAAAAATTAAGTACCTATTTTTTTTACATAATTCGAATGAGAATCATGTACCGAGTATGCTCCTTAAATATTGATAGTAATTCACCAGTCACCCTGTATTTTCAAGATAATCATCGCTGTCATCATGTCTCTCCTGAATCATCGCTACTGGTGATGGAATGAGATCGTTTCCTCTTATAACTTTTGTTCCTGGCCTTGGGTAGTACTTACTATACGTACTTGTGGTAGTACTATAGGTACTTGCGGTTGGTAGTCGGGTAAATCGTACCAGTACAATTTAACCAACTGCAAGTGGTACGATTAAACCAACTAAGGCATTTCTAAAACAAAAGCAAATATCCGGCATAAACTCAAAACTCAGACACGCAACAAAAACCCCCAATAATCTAGTATACAATTGTGGAATAATAAAAAAAAACTGAATAACTATAGCTTATCTTGATTACGAGTTATCTCCTTACGAATGTACGACAATATTTATATTAATTCCTACAAAAAAGTTATTCTTTTATTACTTGCACCGTTGTTAACTCACGTCGATTTAAACTAGTGAGTGAAGAGGGATGGTACAGGGCCACGATTTGGCGTTGTCAGTGTAGAAAAAAATATTCATTAAATGGGAAATTTAGAAGTGGTACGATTTAAATGCTAGTACGATATAACCAACTCTCCCCTATATAGAGGTGGCAAATCAGTAGACGGTCTACTTGATAGGAAGAAGTTACTGTCGCCCATGAACAACTGCATCATAAGGGATGTTGCGGATGCTTTACCGACTTTGATTGTGGGAGAGGGAGGAAAGGGTAGGAACAGGGAAAGGGCAACCAACTCTCTCACTTATGGGACGAAATGCAGCCGTTGAAGACTACTTCACGCCGATCTTCTGTGAGAGGGTGGTACTTCCCCGGTCAAACCCGCCCATGTTTAAGCTGTAGTACCTAAGTTGACCATAGCTAGGCACGATGGCCGTTAAAAACTTATAAACTGTTACATTTGTAATATTAAATGTTATATTTTATTCATGTTTATATATCCCCGTGATATTTGAACTACTAAATAACTACAGTATGTAGTACCTACTAAATATAATTATAAATGTTTAATCTATTTTATTGCAGTTTTTTTTACTAATCTTTTTAATATGACTTAAATATTATACGAAATATCGTACAAAATATTGTAAATTTAATATAAAAAATTTATCACTCTCAGGAAAATATTCTTTATAACCATTCTATATAAATACTATAGACATATTTTTAAATTCGTTGTGTGATTTATAAAAAATACGAAAACCTTGATTATTAAAAGCAAATAGTTTAGAACAGTTGCTTAAAGCTTCTGTAATATTTCCTAATATTATAGATTACTTTATTTTCTATTAGCAACAGACGTCGCAATTTAATATTTAGGATGAAATACTAAAAAAAGTCATAATTAGTTCTGTAATATTGTAATAATTGACCTAAAGTTACGTATGTAGTGATTTAACAATAAAAAAATGTAACCGCAGCCATTTTGAATAAAAACTAATAATGGCCGTTAAATCGATTAACCCTAATTCACTTGACTATTATATAATAAAAGTTTTTCCCTCATCTGTTCATCATAAACTGGCTCATTTTATTCATACATAGAGAAGTACTTATATAATGAGATCTAAGATTTTCGCGAGTATTCATTTAAATGAAACTAGTATTTTTAGATTTATTACGCGATTCTTATTTTTGATTATAAACTACATACTCCCGACGATTCGTTTACTTTACAGCAACCGAAACTTTCGGAGTATGTAGTTTATAGTCAAAAATAATAATATCGTAATAGGTAAATCCGAAAATATTAGTTTCATTCAAAAGAACTAATATAACAAATTATACACTACCGAAATTGTTATACCTAGATTTACTTAATTTTATCCTTAATGTATATAAAATTGGTCCATTAACGTGTCCTCGGGGTTATATTTAACTTGTTTATTGTCGTTCCTCTAATGTTTTTCTATTTCTTGCAGGTAAGAGGCGTTTCGACATCTGAAGCAACAACTATAATTATTCTTTAAAAGGTATGACCGATTAACCGTCGCAGATTCTTCGTTGCATTCGATTTAAATTTCAATGGGATGTTGTAAATTATTTCATAAATCATTTGTTTTTTTGTCGTAAATTTCGGATCTCTGGCTAACAAATATTTTGTAATTTCTGATAGTAAAGATGGCTTTTTCGCTTAAACTCTGAGTTCTGACCTCTTTTTTTATAGTGTAAAGCAATAGCTTGTGTTGTATTGTGAAAATATGAAATTAGTATCATTATAATTTATTATATGCAATTAATTTCGTTCTAATACTTGTATGTTTATTATATAACTCACCTTATCTAGTTACATAAGCGTAAGAAGGTAATACTTCATATTCTTACATGAAATTAAAAGTAATATAAATATAGAAATTAAATCAGCTGGTATTACAATATCTTAAGTTCTAATAAACAACTTTCGACTTTGATATGTTGTTATAAAATGAGGGAATTTGATCCTTAAAATTATTTAAAATAAGGTTTATTTTTTTATGACTTATTTTAATAATTAAAATCAGCGATGGTTTCGGTAGATAATTCACCATCATTTTCTATTTACAACCATTTCCTTAATTACGAAAGCATTATAACGCTTGTTACAGAAAATAAAATATGGATTAGATTACACACATATAATATTAATACTCTGTTATTCTTCTTCAACGTGGCAATTTCCCAGCTCTTAGCCAGGGTCTGTCTTGGATGTTGTAAATAGTTTTGGCTAATTGTTTTGATGCTGCCTGGCATCAACCCTCTTTGGGAATGCATTAATCAGAGACGTCTAAATGCTCTTAAAAAGTACATATGACTCGGAAAAATCACATTGGTACTTGCCAAGATCGAACCCGCGCCTCGTGCATTAGAGGCGGGCCTTTTAACCACTAGGCCACCACAGACTGTTATTAAAGAAACAAATTAAATTTGAATATATACTAAAGTTAAGATCCTGTTAAAGTTACTCATGTAAAGCCAAATAAGCTTCAACAAGACAAGCAGGGGTTAGTAAATGTAGATTGCATTTGTTTTTCTCAAATAAAGTATAATTTTATTTTAAATATGTTGCAACCAATGTGTAATATATCTCAAATGACATACGTCACGACATGTCAGCGACATTTAGCATCGTCACGAATCCGTAACGTGAAGATTCGTGATATGTAAACATTGGAATTACAGCTAAGGACATTCATCATGGCTTTTGTAAACATTACATTACATTAGCCTTATTACTTTAAGTAATTACTCAGGAGTAAAGTAACTTCAGTTACAATATTACAGTTGTACCAAATATATGCACATATATCTGGTGGAGTTATTTTATGATTAATTAATTATCACTTGTTTAATCAAGTTTTCTTACAATGTATATCTAGTTTACGATTTCCTAATTTAATATAGCATATTCAAATAAGTTACCATCAAGTATTGACGCGAAATACTAGATGACAAAGCTTGTAGGTACATGATGAATCTTCCGTTAAATTTTGATTAGTTTAAAAATTACATCACAACTATAAGACAGTTATTAGTGGTTCCGTTCACAAAATAAGCGGCTGTGACGATCGTTTGGAATTCCGATATCAAAAATGGCGAGACTAAGTATATACTAGTATGCCGCCCGCCTCCGACGTACGTGATGTAACGGTTGTCGGCGCGTGCGCATGTATCCACACGTAATAGAATAAAACCTTAAAAAGTCGGGTGGGCAACGGATACCAAAGAAGAATTATTATTGTTATCTATTTGAAGGCTCAAAAATCTTTGTTTTACTACTTATAAATAACTGTGAAATGTTTAAAATTGTACAAATCATGACATAATTATTTGAGGTGTTTTTCCTTTTTGTTCAAATTACTTTACATTTCATTATAGTGAAAATATATACTATTATTTTAAGTTACTTAAGGAGTTGAATTTCTTCCCGTGCACAATAAGTTATGCTTAAAAGTTAAGATTATGAGGGAAAACATTAGGCATGTCCAAAATTACATATTTTTGTCTGAAAAAAGTTTTTTTTGCTGTCGGTTGATATGTTCGTAAAATTATGTTGTGTGCGTGTGTCCCATCGTTAGTTATCTATGGTACTGATGGTGCAAGTCCCCAGTTATGCATGCGTTACACACTAACAACTACGTTTGCCCAAAGCAACTTATAAACATGGAAACGACTTCATAATTTAATAATGTATTTAAAATCACAACATACAATGTTTCATTTTTCACTTATCTCAATACTTATCTTCTCAATCTTCAGCAGTTTCTGGTAAAGGGCTATGAGCCAGCGGCCATACTAATGCAAAATACCACTTTTCTCCGAACACATTGATAAAATTCCTCTTCATCGCTGACCAATTATTCTTAAAAGTACTCCTTGTATTTTCCTTATACTCGTGGGAGGTTTCTCCTTTTAACACATTTCTGGCGTGAAAAACAAATAATCCTCCAGACCATATAACAAGACCGATATTGAGGAACAGAAAGAAAACGTACAAATCCTTCATACCCATTGGTTCTGGTATTAAATATCGTAGAAACGGATTGACGATTCGACAAACTGATACATATATCTCATATTCATCGTATTTAGACACGACGTAATAAAAATTGAAGTAAGTCGAATACACCATTGATATGAATATATATGTGAGGTAAGCGACATAGTATCGCTGGTTCCGTAATCCAATGCAGCGTGAAAAAAAGAAGCAGTGATGGTCTCGCTTGAGAATGCACGCGTTGCATTTTCTACAATGCCAGGCCTTCGCTGGACGATACATTTGACAAGATTCGCAGAACTCCTCGCATTTATACGGCCGAGATCCCATTTTTATGGTCGTGTCAGTAAAGATGCCCAAAATCATATTACCAACGATATTTATGAAGAAAAACATAGAGAGTATTATATGGAAGGCGTGCTTTGTTGTACTGAATTCGTACGTCGTCACTATAATGGGTCTCACGACGACCATCTCGAATATGAAAAAATAGGGAGTTATAACGAATACTAATGTATAACACATACTCTTTTCTATAATCCACTTTAATTTCCACAAACATCTCATCATAATCATTTTAACATTTATGATTATTATTATATGCTAAGGTTATCAATGACACATTAAAAAGTGACAGTATATTTTAGGTTAATACGAAAAGAGGTTTGAGACTAAAGAGTTTCATTACATTCATAACTGATGCCACATTCAAAATTTACTCAACAATGGATGTTGATGAATCTTAAAGTAAACAAGCATATAATATGAAAATAACAAGGATATCTTATTATCTTTGTATCAATACCCGTCTATCTATCATACGTAATATATAATATGCGCCTGCGCACGATATTGGCATTTAATCGAGCTAGTCTCTAGCCTGTCACCGCTCCTACTGCTAATGGATTGTATTTCCACCGTTGCTTAAGAGCATGCGTTTTATATTACATGCTTCTTGTATAACGGTTAAATGGTTTAGCTATTTGGACAAGAAATTCCGTCATAATTTTTAAATGTCTTTTTCTACTCATATTGTTGTAGTTTCTTTTCTTAACCTACGTTAAAAGTAAAAGTTTGCTGCAATAAGTCATTTAAGAATAACTTTGTGATCTATATGTGTTCAATCAGTCAAAGAGTCGCTAACTTAGACAAGGAAGCATTCCTATCGTAAGAAATTTTTGCAAAACTTTAATGTTATATGTTACAATAGAGAGATGAAATGAATACTCCATTATTATATGATAGCTTAATAGACATCGCTTTGGCAACACAATAAGTTATTTAACACAGTTATTGGCTATAATGATACAAAATTGTAGGTCTTGAATGTATTCATACTTTTTAAACAGCGTTATAGCTTCTGTCTACACAGCCAAGGCCTTGTGGATGCTTAGCTTAGTTGTTGTATTACGAAAGTGCTATATATAAATATTGAATACAAATCATTTTATGGTCTAATAGTCGACTGTAACTAGCCACAATCATTAGCCACACAGCTCAGTCATTCTTATGTTAATTATAACGAAAGATAACAGTGAGAATGCGGACGTTAGGTTTATATTTACATATAAATGAAACTGTGGCTTGTCATTACGACAATCCTTGTTGGAGCCTTGCGAGGTGAAAGTGGAATTACTAAATGTTAGTCGGCTTAAAGTAAAAGTGACTTAGATTGGACTTTCAAGCTTATATATGTATTATATATACGATAGATATATTACCGCTACTTAAATGATTAGGTCGCAGATAAAGCTCGGGGCATTTTAGAGTTATTTTTCTCTTATTAAGTAGTTATATGTTGAAATTTTTATAATAATCCATTAAATTAGCATATCTAATCTATTCTCCTTATATGATATGTAGTAATGGAAATGTCAACAATTTTTTTTTAAAGATTAAGATTAAAATGACCGCTGGTTAAGTCATCAGATAAAAATGATGGTAGTTCAAGCTCGACATACAAAGTATCAAAGGAGGTTAAGGTTTTTGTATATAATATATTGAAATCATTAGCAAATATTCTTTATTCTAAGTCTCTCTATTAATTTTGATGCTTTTTAGACGTAAAATCCTTATATAATACGAAATCAGTCATTAAAACACTTGTAATACATTTATAGAAGACTATGTAGGTAATGTAATATAATTAGTGAGAAACGTAAGAAAATACATGATTTACTTGATTTCCAATCCATAACTTTGGAGTAAGCTTCAAGCAAGCTTCAAACTATGTGCAAGGTCTTATACATATATACATACATATAATATATATTTAAATCATTTAAGCAATTCTTTATTCTAAGTCTATATAATAATTTGATACTTTTTAAAGGTAAGTTCATTATAAAAAAAAACTGTATCTAAAACACTACATAATAAATTCTATTTAATAAATTTAGTAACGATTATAATAAAAAATAAATGGTAAACATGATTTCACATTCATTACTTTGAAGTAAACAAGTTACAAAGTTTGCGTAACACAGTTCATATCAAACTGAAAAATATCTTTATTTAAGGATCGTGAGAAATGTGTTTTTGTTTGTAAAAATAATATTTTATGTTACAATCATGCTATCGAATATAAAATTAATAGTAACTCGTGATTTGGTATTCATTAAAAAGAAATAAAAATTATTTCGTCAAACACAGACTTCTAGAAGTCATAAAAAATTCATGGTTAATAAAAAGGATGTTTTGTTTTTACGTGTCGAATGTATTACGTGTATATTCCGTTAGTTTTGTTTGTTACGGAAATAGGAACGGAAACGTAAAGAATCGGAACTATACTCACAAACACGCAAACCCACACGTATTGTTGATTTGACCTATAATTTACTCGTTTGAATATAATTTTTTGTAATGCGTATATCAGATATTGCATAACGAAAAGAAAGTAATATTTATACGCCGTTTAAGTTCATTATACAATACTGAGAATTGTAAAAGGTTAGGTGAAAGTTATCAACATAATTTTTCCTGAGATATGTATAACATGCGCTGACAAAATTATCCCACTAAAAATTATTCTTTCTGAAAAATCCTATAAATACAACAAATAATAATATTTCTGAGTGGGTCTTAAGTAAGTAAAATCTACAGATTTTTTTTATGTAGATGTAATGTAATTACGTTTTTTCTTTGTGTATTGAATTGTATATTTTTTTTCAATCGTATAATCCTCAAAACGTACTTCTAGTTTTCATATCAAATCTATGTACTACCCAAGTATGACCATGGAATAATAGTACAAACATATAATACTGGTATTATTGTAGTAATTCTGTTATATTTCATAATTCATTCGCATAAGGACACATCCAACGATGCGTTCAATTGTTCAGCAACATTGAATAAAGATCTTCAATCAACTTTGAAATCCCTTCGCAATTGTACGTGATGCTTTACAGACTTTTTATATCTGATGGAAACATTAGTTTTTATTAAAATTAAAGTAATAAAAACACGACATCATTATATTTAAAAATTCCATTTAAGGAAACACTTTGTTTGTCCATCGTAATATTATGATCAGGCAAATGTATTTCTAAGACGTAATTCGTTTTGTTGATGTAGAAAACTATTAAAAATGATTTAATATTAGATAAAATGTAGCTATATAGCATTAAAAATGATAGATCAGTTAATATAATCGTAAATTACCCAGTTCTATCAACTTTTACGTAAACAACTTTCTTTATTAATTATATGGTGTGGGATCGTGTTCGACTAGGGCATTACAGAGGCAATTTATTTTGTAATGACATTAATATCATACGATTATAAAGATATTAATTGTTAAATTTCTCTATTAAGTTATATAAGCGTGTTACTTTGAGGGCGAGGCCGGAAAAACCGATATAATTTCCGTTCTGAAACGTTTAACGGTTTAAAATTATAAAACGGACACATACCGATTTTACGATTGAATAAATTCATACAAAATATTCACCTGTGTTGCTTTTATGATTTTTTTAATAATATAATATGCAGATTAATAAATAATACTTAACAGACGTGGGTTATATCTTGACATCTTCATTTCTTACTTAATATTTATATCAGAGGCGTAGCTAATTGAAATAATTTAATTCACCATATTGGACTGCTATTCATAGTCAAACATGCATTTTATTACCTAACTAGCTTTTATGTGGGTTAACAATTAGCATTCGACTGTAACGAATCGATTGGATATTATCGATTAGATGTTATCGATTGGATGGTATCGATGCAAGAATCGATATCGCCTCACGGCCGCGCCCCCCGTGACCTATACATTTTCTCGATTAATATTTGATTTACTGTCAATTTATTTTGATCGACATTCATAGTTTTGAAACTAAATGTTATATAATTTTTGATAAATTTGGAAGAGATTTTTATTTTGTACCTGAATATTTTTTTTTATATATTCTATAAAGTCACCAATACTTTATATTTACTTTAGACGTACGTGTATATTATTTGAATTTAATATATTATCTGTGGTTTAGGATTATTTTTTATTATTTATAGGATTAATATGTATTTCCATATATATAAAAATGTAAGTACATAGTATCCAAAAATTATTAAACATAAAAAAATTGTAATCGAATAAATAATAGGATTAAAACCTATGACACTATTTGACTAATTTAATTTTGATGTTGACTTTTCTACGGTAATGTGCAAAAGAAGAATGCTTTATATAATAATATAAATATTTTAAAATTCACTAACTATGACTGTCACTCAACTTCGTCGTATAACTATTTATTTGGAAAACATTACATGAATAAACAATTATTCATATTTAAAATCAAACATTGTATGTTGATGGAATTTACTTCCTCATATCCCCGTAGTGCAGAGAGTTTTCCCAAAGAGGGTTGATGTCAGGCAGACGGCCAGTCGTAAAAACAATTAACCAAAACTATTCACAACATGTAAGACAGTCCCTGGCTAAAGCTGGGAAAATTGCCAGGTAGAAGAAGATCCTCGTAGTTCAGAATTTTTTAATATATTCTTAGAAGATTTATTTTATGTAAAATTGATATTATCACTATGCTACCATTGAGAAAAAATTTGTAGAAGGTTAAGTTTAGGAAAGTAATAATTTTGGATGTTCGTAAATGTGGAGGCGTTTGTTATTATTCGAAAGTTTTCTAATGAATTATGATAAAATTAATTATTTAAAAAAACTAAACGTATTTTCTAAACTTCCTTAACGATCATATAATATAATCTATTACAGTCAATCTCTAAATTGGTTTTCCCAACATTAAAATACACAGGAAAATTTACTCTATACATTTTTTTTATAGTTTTTTTAATAACCCATCTATCAAATGTATATAAAAACAACAGATTTATTATTAATAAATTAAATTAACTGTAAAATATTATCTGTACAAAATTAATGACAGATTTATGTTTTAAAGATAGCCGTCGCAATATAAGTATTAATTAATTAATAATTAGGAAAGTTG